TGGCTGTGGGTTATCGAGATAAATCCGATTTATCCGGCCACTGCGAATTGTGCGGCTGCCAAATAATTACTGGAAAGTTTCTTTTGGGAATGAGTAATTAGGGGCTGTCATTGTCTCGGTAGTAGTTCGCACGAGCGACAATAGGGAACGCGTGCGTGTCTGACCACGCACGGGCTGCATCTACTGGCGTTCGTTCCCGCTCCGCCTTTTTGTTTCACCACGGTATTTATTAACCCTTTGCGGTCGGCAGATTTCAGCACAGCAAATTTACCGTTTCGCAGTTACTTTTCTGTACAGGATTTAACACTGGATTGCCGGAGCGAGTCAATTTGACTCGTTTACGATTTTATTGCTATGTATACAGAAAAATTAAAATAATTTTTTTAAAACATATGTTGGTTTCTCGTAGAATTATAAAATGTGTACAAATACTAATTCCTTCCCCTCTCCGCTCCTTAGTTCCAAAAATCCATATGTGTTATACCTATTTTGACGGACGTGAGTTAAATTGACTCAAATATTTTTAAAGTTGGTCGTTTTACATACGTGTAACTTATTTCTTACGCACAAAATTTTTTTGTAAACAATCTTATGCGAGAGTTTTCATGTTCAAACTTGTCAAGTTACTAGTTTATGGCCCCTTAGCCCATCGAGGTCCAAGGGCACCACGCGTGCGGGCTTACTTTGAGACAGGCCCCTTGTTAGCCGAATCCCAAGTACCGTCACCCAACCCTGTCAAACGAGGGTCGTATTGCCTCGCAAAAATCTGCGGAAAATGTATTTTAAAAACGGAATATATATTTAAAAATTGTTTTGAATGAAGTTCCTTTAAAATAAAATTTTATTTGTTTTAAAAAACTTCAGTTTTGATGTTTCAATCGAATTGACTCATTCCAGGCAAAATAGGAATACCTAACCTCCGGCAATCTAGTGTTAAAGTCATATCTATGTGACGAGTTTTCCAATTTTCTTTTTTCCAATTTAACATGCTGTTACGAGATCATATCCACCCGGTATTCGGTCAAGAAAAGCGGATCGTAACGTCAGTGCAGAACAATCCAGCACATTTCAGAATGTTCGGTTTAAATAAAAGGAACGTCTTTCATCGAAGTTCAGAGAGTGCTGTCAACCTTTTCAGTAGGGAAAATCTATTTTGACGTTTTAAAATTCTTCGACAATCCAGCGATCGAACTTGAAGAATAAGAATTACACTCGCGATTTGTAACATACGTTTAATGCGCCAGAAACAATAATATACATATAAAAGGAAGAACCAAAACGTACAAAAGAGTTACAAATGAATACTAAGACTGTGAGATCGATGGCTCCAGCGTGAAGCACTCGCGATCTAGAATCTAACTTAATCTACCGCGCTTATCGTTATAGGGTAATATAAATTTAAGAACTACTTTATATTAGAATGCGGGTTTGCCTATGTATAGAAAAGGAACGAGAACTATACAGCTTTTGGATCTGGGTGACGAGTATGCTTCCGTGGGGGCCCTGTCACCCAAATATGGGTGACGCTCTTTGTGTTCAAGTTAAATAGGATTTTTAAAAGAAATAAACACTGAAATATAAATATAGGATATGCAACATAAAAATATTAAAATATAGGATATATTTAACATAGAAATATGAAAAATATACACATTATACTATACTTTTTATTAATTTATATTTAGGATAAAATATTACGTTATACTATGTCGCATGGTATTCGTTGAAACAGTTTAACCCTTTGCACTCGACCATCTTTCGGCTACAGATGAGTAGGAGTTCAAAGATTTTCTGCTATAAAGCTGGCGATATTTCTTTTAGTAATAAATAAGAAATCGTGTAATAATTAACACGTAGAATTATTTGATTTCGATAGCTCGCACACCGTTATATTATCTTAAATTTCACATATTAATTAATATCGATCTTCGAAATTTTATCTAATGGTGACTGACGGTCACCTCTCGAGTGCAAAGGGTTAAACACATTTGAGGTGATTTTGGACAATTGGAACAATAGGTCGTAGTTTTCTTACATTTTCCGTAATTGTCTGTCAATATGTTTATGACTGGTAAAACTGTACCAAGTCTGCTACTCTGTTCTATCGTTTCGTTATTTGCAAGATGCAAGTTTGCTGATAGTAATTCAAAACGATTACAGGAAATGGAAAATTATAAATAGGGTCCGTTGATCAACATCTAACGAGCGGTGTCTGTACTAGGTGCATCTAAATCATCAGTTCGATAACGTTCAGTCTGGCGTTTCGACAGTCGGATTTGGGCCCTGTGAGAAACTGAACCGAATCGTGTTGGGTCACGAACGTGTTAATACTACTTATAATACATAAATATAGCAAATTTTTAATTTGTCTAATTTTCTGTATTTTTCGACTTGTGAATGTTCCCGTTGCGAGGTCTTCGACCGCAAAGGGTTAACCCTTTCGCTATTACAGGTGACTATAGTCACCTGCCACGAGACATCTACCCACGACGAGTGACTATAGTCACCGGCCACAGAAATTGAGTAAAAAATTAAGAAAAATGCTCTTAGCTCTCTTCGCAAAGAATTGCAAGCTCTATTGTGACGCTCAGTTCTTCTTTTTCTTTTCTTCTTCAAAAAATTTGCGTTAAAAGACCGAATGCTGAAGATTGCATGATCGTAATGTTACCATCTTTGACACATCGTTGACTGTCAGCTACGAGATATCTCGTAGATTGTTTACCTTACTTATGCTCGTAGAATACGACGTGGAATGCTTGAAGCTTGAGCGCAAAATGGCTGAAAATTGTTCACATCGTAATTACTATTTATAGAGAGGAAATAGGAAATTCCAAACACACGTATCCCCTATTTTTACACGACTTATAGATAAGGTGTATTAATTTACGTGAATATGAATTGACACTTAGTGTAAGAAACGATAAAGATGATTAATTTTTCATGAAAATTTCTACATGGTTATATTCCCCATGTAAAAAGGTATAGTTTCTCGAGATATTCTGAGAAATACGCTTTTGACCACTACCTCTGAAGGCTGTTTTCGCCTAATTTTCACCGTTAATTTGGACGATGACCGATCAAGGAAATACCTGTGAAATATATTTTTAGAACTGTCTTTCACACGAATTTCATTCAACTCGTATTGACTCGCACACGGTATAGTAAATGATAGTAATGTGGTACGATGGAGGTAAATGAGCATGCATTTATTAAGCACGTTTTTATAATACATTTTTATCGGAATAAAAATCGGAATTAATTTTGCTAATAGGAGCTGTACGTGCTCGATGGTTATTTACTAAAGAATGTGAAACAAGTCATTGTGACTTGTTTAGTTGCTCTAATATTCGAGCGTATTTTAATGCGTGTTTCAATGCGTATTTTAATATTATGCTTAATATTATGCATCGTTTTGTGCGTGCAATTTTAGAAAGCGAGGTATATAAAAGCGGAGTTAATATTTTAAACGAGGAACGACCCGTATCTGCCGAGGCTCGCGGATGAAATAAACGTCTTCGTCGAATTCTGTCGGGTCCTTATATAGGTTTTCGTTAAGACAGGACGGGGAGCACGGGAGAACCAGTTTTATAATCAGAAATAAGAGTGAAAATAAAAACCGTCCGTTCGGTGTAACACATATGCATCCATTTTGGAAAGAAAACGAGCCTCGAGTTTCTAGTGACATAATTGACGAACACTTCCTGTAAAAAGATACGTAAGTAATCGTGATCGATAATCGAACGTAAATATGCAACTCCCCTTCACGAAAAAGTTTCGAACGGAGACCGTTACGAAACCCGCGTTCTTGTCAAAAAGAGACTAATGAAATATATCAATTACCGCGGACATAATCGATCTTCTCAATACCTGATGATATCAAAATCTATGATTCATATTTTTGCAACGCGCTTTTTAAATAATTGATACTACACACTTTGGAAAGTTAGGTAATCGAAGAATAGGAAGATTCCAAAGTTAATGGGCTCGATAATTGGAAAATTGGTAAACTCCTAGATTGGAAAGTTGAAGGATACAAAAATTGGAAAATTAAAAATTTCAAAAACAATTCGAAAGTTCAAATATTTAAAGGTTTAAATATTTGGAAATTCAACGCTTAATATTCGATATTCAAATATTTAAAAATTCGAATATTCAAATATTTGAAAATTCAAAGATTGAAGAATTCGAATATTTAAAAATTCGAACGTTTGAAAATTTAACGCTTTCGAAATTCAAATATTTAAAAATTCAGCGATATCGAAGTTCAAATATTAAAAAATTTGAAAATTCCAAGATTAAAAAATTCGAATATTTAAAGATTCGAACGTTTGGAAATTTAGCGATTTCGAGGTTCAAATATTAAAAAATTCGAATATTCAAATATTTGAATATTCGAATTTTTAAATATTTGAATATTTAAAAATTTTAACGTTTGGAAATTCAACGCTTTCGAAATTCAAATATTCAAAAATTCGAATATTTCTAAATTCAGCGATTTCCAAGTTCAAATATTTAAAAATTCGAGCATTAAAAAATTAAAAAATTCCAAGATTTAAAAATTTAAACATTCAAAAATCTAAAAATTCGAAAACTTGGAAATTGAAAGATTTGGAAGATGAAAAAATGCGGAAGCTTAAAGATCGATCAATTCTGACACCTGGAACCTAGTGACCCCAGATCTCCCGGAATCCCCCGAATAGAAATGCCATTGAGGGCTTATCTATCCTAGAGTTTCGACGTTATCTAAGATTGGAATTCACGATAACGATCGATGCATCGAACAAGCGTTTCCGCGCCGTTCATCTTCACGGTCGCATCGAGGATCTTTCATCGACAGCGGCCACGCTCGGCGATCCCTTCTTCAGGATCTCGGCGAGGCAGCCAGTAGAGAAAGACGAACAGAGAGGACAGAGACTGAAGTGTAGCGTGGAGGTGGCGCCAGACCCCTCCTTCTAATAAAAGCCGCTCACTAAGCTCCGTTACACAGACAGTCACAGAAAAGTCGAAGAGAGCAGGAGCTGCAAACAGCTCCTTTTGGGTTCACTTCAGAAGCGGACAGTTCAAAAGTTCTACCGTGTCATATCGAATCGGTGTGTGGTGAGTTCCCTCATACGGAACGCTAATTCGATCGCGAAAATCGTGATTTTCGTCCTATCGTTCAGTGATGACAAACGGTCCATGTGACGTTCTCTGTGGCCTGTGAGCAAACTAACGAGTACCTTCCAAATTCCATTCATCGCGGAAAAAATCGGTAGAGCCTTCCTTTCGTACCACTTGATCTATCCGCGACAAAATTTTACCGATCTCGTCGAATTTTCTCGAGCTACGTTGCAAAATTTTCCATCTCTCGCCATCTCTTTCGCAATTAACATCCTCCCGATAGTCTGCCAGGTGTTTCGAGCTTCCTCCTCGAGTCGCCTCTATCTATAGTGATTACCGGGGCTAGGACCACGCGTGCACAGGAACTACCGGAGTGAAAATCTTCGTGAAGTGATCGGAACAATCTCGAAGAGAAAATCGAAACTCGTGAGCCCCGTTCGACTAACGTTCGAGGAAATCGCGGGTTCTACCGATCTAGGACGCTGAACAGTCTCGCGGAACGCACGTGTTTATCCTCGTAGCTTCAGCTGCTCATCCAGCAGCGTGGAATCGTGCAGGCTTTGACAATCGTCACAGCTCGCTCGCTTTCGTCGCGATTTTCATTCGCGAAATCGTTCTTGTACCTCGGTTCGAAAATAATTCGAGCCTAATTTCGACAACGATCGCGAATTATTAACGATACTTGCTAATACCCGACCTCGAGTGCTCGCTGTTGCACCATCACCTGGGACAGCATGCGTGCTGAATCTAGATTGCCTCGACGTGTGGCCAGCATTGTATTCCGGCTGTTCGCTATTGCAATTATAGACTCGTTTGGCTGCTGAAACGCGCAGCAATTGCATTTAAATTTCTAGTTTATTCTTCGCGTTGCTCGTCACGGGTTAAAATAACAAGCTTCCAGGGGGGACAGTAAAGGCGCGTTTACAGAGAATTTCGTTGCCCTGGGATAAACGAAACGACGATACTCTTTGGTATTTTTCATCTCGTTTCTCATCCCCTGTCGTTCCTTTACGTTTTCATTTTTATTATTTAGCGAAGATTGATTCTTGAAACGAACGATAAGTCGTATTAGGCCATCCTTCCTTGAGAATCTCGGCGTTGAGGTAGCCAACGGCGTTCTCGACTTTCATTCGGTCGAAAGTGATAGTTTCGAACGTATCCATGCTCGAGAAAGGAGAGCCATTGCGCTCCCCTCCTCGCCAAGATCGCGAGGCTCCTTCACCTTCTCATCTTTTTCTCCAGAATCTTACCCAAACGTTTCCGGTCCATGCTGGCGGATCATGTGGGGGACACGTACAACATAATATATTCGTTCGTAAATGTCACGAGTCAAAGTCCAACGAGTATCCGAGGAAACGAAACGAATTAGTAACGCGAGAATTTCTCATTTATTATTAACTTCCGCTTTCTTTTGCAGATTCACAAACCCCGAAGCTACGAAAAATGAAGTCCATCGTTATTTTGGCGACAGTGTTCTGCGCGGCATTAGTCAGCTCGTACCCACTTCCCGAAGGAGACCGACTTCAGTCCGAGGTGAGTGGCTTTGGAAAATCTACGAAAAATAAGCTTAACTCCGGTTTTAACTCGCCTCAGGCGACCCGCGAAGCTATATTACAGAGTTCTGCCAAGCCATTGGATAACCTTCGAATTCGATCCTGCACCTCGTTGTCGCTCGTGGTCCACCACGTAAGAGACCATATATCGAAGAGTACAGAAAAGTATTCCGTTCGTCGACATTCGTATTTCGTCTCGGAAAATTCGCCCGACCCCCGAAACCATCTCCGAGCCGGTCTTCCTCGATCCAGAGGTTACGTAACAGGTGTTACGATAGCTTTCTCCGTGTCACTGTGTCAGCGAGATGCTCGCTGTCGGTCCATCCGCTGCAATCGTTTGTCCATCGCTTATCCCGAGGAGGAAACGAAACACAAGGAAGGAACCGGAGAAAGCTCCCGTTCGCAAAATTGGCCGATCGCGAAACCCGGCGACCGGTTAATCGGCGAGATAACCGCCGATGGAAACGCCGAGTGTCGCTCGTTGCGAAAGTTCTCGGCCGGATTTCGTCGAGCGGCTAAACGCTCGATCGTTGGACCGAGTCGGTCGATTCGGTGATCAGAGATGATGTTTCACTTTCAACGGGGCCTCTTTCACTCCGACCGAGTGCTACGACCTCGCGCGGAGAACGCGCGGCATCCTGGGACCACGTCACGTGGCATCCTTTGGTTTAACAACATCAGGTGAACCGCGTTAGCTCTTCGCTTCTATGAATTTCATGCAGAATAAGTCCGCTTAGACGACCTTCGAACGATCAATTGGCTGTGCGAATATTTTAATCGATCTTCGATTCGTGATCGGTGACATTGCTGTCAGTCACAGTCCAATGTACCGTTTCTCACGCGGATATTCTTGTTAGCTGTGGACGCTAATCGCTCGAGTGGACGGTTGCCCAAACGACCTAGGAACCGACGAGACGAAGGTACGGGGAAGAAGGTCAGAGTCGAGATTCCGTGCGTCACAGTCGAAAGTGATCTCGCGAGGACGTGGAAGGTTAGGCAAGTTTGGTAGGAGGCGAGCGAATGTCGTTTCACGAGCGATGAAATACACGGTCCGACGAAAAGCCAGAACGTCCGGCCGGCTCTCTTCTTCGGCCCGACACTTTCACTGGCCGCGAACACTTACTTACCGAGTTACACTGGACACTTTCTTCGCTCGATCGATGCCCAATGGAAAGCGCGTGCGTAAACGTACACGCGCTCACGTGCACGCGTGTCTCTGCCTCTCGACAGTGGTTCGCAAACCTTTCTTCTCTTATTGCTGGCTAATTTATTACGATTATAATCTTCCTCCTCTTTCCTCCCGATCTCTGTATCTGGACGTAATCACTTCGTGTGTGTGTGTGTGTGTGTTACCATGAATTACTCGTGGAGCGTCTCATTCGTGTCAATGTCGATGGGCATGCGTACATGTGACTGGTGTTAGGTAAACGTGGGCCGATTTCTTATTTGCCGCGTAATTCCAGCTGCGGGCATAACGATCGGTGTTTACTTTATTTGTTGCTCTCTCTGTATCTCTACTAGTTAGTATTGGGTCTGTGTACTTGTTCATAAGATAGAAAGGAATATGATTTTAATTGGATGAAATTGCAAGAGACTTCGTAGGGGAATAGACTCGCCACTTTCGGAGACTTCGACGCGCGAGCAAGCGCGATCTCGGGTTGATCGCTGATCGATTCGAGCCAGTTTCGAAACTTCCACCAAAATCGGCGAAATCGTGAAGCGGGCTTACTATGTCGGAGATTGTGACTAGTTGCGAGTATAGATAACGCTGAGGGACGAATCGCAGAGGCGATTCGAGCGCGAGTCTAGGGGAAAGTGACCATGGTAACCAGGTTGAGCAATTTCGTAGTCCGATGACGGTCCGAGTGTCGGAACCGGGGAATTATTTATCGAATATTTTGTCTAGGCTGTTGCAACACAGCGACAGGTTTCCTCGTTCACGGGAAAAGCGGTACTAAACGAATCTAACCTCGACTGAACTAGCTGCTCGGCTATACCGATCTGTTTATTTGCTTCGCCTCGTGCGTGCCAGGATCGTGAAGGAAAATCGCGAACGGTTAGTCACGAGTTCTTCCTTATCGTAACAGAAAATTGTAACAACGCTGATGTGACTGTCGTAACAGTACGCAATCGCGTTAAACGTTGCAATTCCGTTTGAACGATCGCAACGTTGCAGTTGCGATTTCTCGTGTCTAAACTATAATCCCGTTAAACTAAAACCGATTGTGTAATTCGAAAATTGCCGTCGAAGAATAAAACAAACGTTCGAGGAGTTATAGACGAGATCCTTTCGATGCTTGTGTTTTATGTTTCTCCGCCATTGCGCAACGATATTACTTAAACACTCGCAGGCACCGGCGATCAGCTTCCTGACAGTAAACTAGCTCTTTATCCCCGTGGATAATAAGGAGAATCGAATAGAGGAGAATTTGGTTGGAGAATCGTAAGGAGAGAGGAGAGTGGAGGTCGAGGTGAATTAGGATCAAAGGGAATTGAGAAGAAGAGACTCGGGCAGAGTATAAGCATCGAGGAGATTGAAAAACTTTGTAGGGACACAGGGAAAAATGTTTTCAGGCACTGAATCGGCTGGTGATGATCGAAGCCGACAACGAGACCGCCCTCAGGAGCAAACGGACGATCGGTATCCTGCGAGAACTGTTCCCCGAAGCTTCTCAGGTGAGCAGCTGTTGAACGAAACGCAGCGAAATCCTGCAGACGGCCAGGACCGATTTACGAACCGAGCTTCCAATATCCTCGTAGTCACTCTCGGGATCCTCTGAGTAGTATTTGGCCGGTTGTGGTCGTTGGACGCCTTGTCTCGTTTAATTGGCCGCTTTCCCGTATTAACGGATAATTGAGAAATTATATCGCCGACGAAAACGTTTCATTAGTAATCCCCCAAGTCGGTTCAAAGCGGAGGAGAAATTGTTCGCAGTGAATCGGCAAAGTTTCCTCGTTTCCCGTACGTCCTGCCGCCCGATTGCGCAACTACGTGTTCGTTTATTCAATTACCTCCGCGAATTAAGATACGATCTCGAATTAAAACTGAAAGTCGCCATCGGAACGATTCCAGCCGCGTACAACATCCTTCCCGCCGCGCGATCGGAATTTCCCCGATTGTTGCATCCGGCCGCCATTGCCGCGTTCATCAAACCGTCCTGCTAGTACGATAACACCTTCCATCGTCATTTCGACACGACACGTTTACCCGCCACTCGTTCTAACGTCCTCGACTGCAACGAGGGCTGACGAATCCGTCTCTCGCCATTCATCCAGCACCATCAACGAGCCCTGGATCGTGACTCGTACGGTAACGTTGCTCGAAACGCAACCACGTGGACGGACAACACTTGCACGACGCGAACCCTAGCATCGCAACTGGTCGAGCGATCGAAAAATACGACGACTCGACGTAAATCATTCGACACGAAACGAAAAATAAGAAAAAAAAAAAAAATGTAAAGAGGGAAAGACAAATTGAAAGCAAACCGCGCGACCACCCTATCAGGAGCCACGACTCGAGAGCAGCTAAGAGCTATTGTTTTCTAGATGATCGAGAAAAAGGTGAACGCGATTGTCGCGCAATTCATCCGAGTGCTCGGTCCGACCTTACTCCAGGGTGCCCTCGGAAATTCCGGAAGCTCGTCGGACAGTGATTCGGGCGCGACCGCCGCGTCATCCTCCAATGACGATGATGACGACGACTTCAATTCGACCAGCAGTGACGGTTCGAAGGTGTCGATATCTTTGCCGACTTACCCGCCTGACGTGGAGAACGTGGCGGAAACGCTTGTCTCGACAAGCACGGAAGACAACGTGACGACGACCGGTGGCGGCCAGGACAGGACCACCGACATGGTCAACACGGTCGTGTGACCGTGCAGTGGTGGCCAGATCGGTAACACGTTGGAGGTCAATGAAAGACGAAGAGTAATCGATTGCTCCGGAAGGGATGATCACCGCGCAATTGGGACTGCTGCGGGAGCCAATACTTTGTCCACGTTCTTTGTTGTTGCTAACCGTGCCTCTTTATCTGTGTGCGTTTGCGTGTGTATACCATTCGTATAGTCTTCTATTATTCGCTTCTTTGTCTCTCTCTCTATCTGTCTACCCACGTTATGTTTGTCTTCATTCTCTCTTCTTTCGTCTCGACATCAACTCCCATTCTCCATGTACGTTTCGAGGCGAGGTACTTGGTGGTTTGTTTCAACATTAATCGCTCTCTTCTGGCTTCCATCTTCTCGTCGATCATCGAGCAAGTTTGCTTTCTCTCGATCTTACGTTTCGAGTGGTCATCCCGATGATCATCCTCGTGATCGGTGAGCAGCTTCAAGGCCGCTAGATCTCGCGGACGTCGATGAGCTTTTGGTTCTCTACTCTGTATTTATCTTCCACTCCGTGTCATTCATCTCCTCGATCATCTCCTCTGATCGTAAAGTTTAACTTTTCCGTCCCTCGATGCAACGTCGCTCAATCGTCATGGTCGTTCGACGTTGCATTTGCTCATGTTCGAGATCAGCTGGGTCCTCACTGTGTGAACGTCCTCTGTGGTGTCGTATCCCTGCTACACACCGCTGACTGTCCAACCTGGCTGGAACGAGTCACGACGAGGTCCACGGGGACTCGTAACGCATCTAGTACCCAGCTTTTTTGGAGGTGTGAACGAACCACGATCTATCGATTCGACTTCCCAATGATGCACGACGATCTCCAATAGCGATTCAGAGGTGGAACGCTGATTGGAAATCGTCGATTAGTTGAGTAACCATGACCCATCGTCAATATAGTGCTTCCACTTGCGTCTGTCTGCGTTGCTTACCGAGTGTAATCGCCACTCAGCCACCGATCGCTCACGATCGGCGCGCGTTCCGATCACGAGACACCTCGAGAACGCGTACGCACGCTTCGTCTCCTTCGATCCGAATAACCACATTTTTGCTTCAGCGTCGCTCGATCGCCATCGAATTCGATCTAGGCGATCTCTATGAATAATTCATCGTCGGTCCATCGATTAAACGGCGACCTAAACACGCTTTGCAGTCCTTGACTGACATCCACCTGTTCCGACCAACGTCCATCCGAGTTCCACAGCGATCGATCGACGATTCTCGCAGAAACAATGGAAGAGGTCGACCGTGAACCTTCTGTTTTGCAGGATGTGAACCCGGAAGCGGAGGACAGAGCGAACGAGGTGGCAGCCGAGTCGCAGAACAACGAGGTCAAAGTGCAGTTCGCGGACGAACAGGGCCACGAGAACGCGGCCGCGCCATTGACGCCTCTCGACGAAGCTGAGAGCGAGGACGACGAGAACAGGAACAAAAGGTACCTCAACTTCGGCTTCGGTTTGGGCGGTTCCGGTAGCGGCGGCTCTGGCAACTTCCTCTTCGACATAATCAGGGTGAGTTTACCGCAGCCTCGGGAAGTATTTCCTTTACTACCACGATTCTCGTGTGTCGGGTGAAAAATGGAGGAAAAATGATGCCTTTTGCACATGTCAACCTTGATCGATGTCTCTATTAAGAACGATACGCAGATGTAAACAAACGAGGTTGAGGATTCCATCCGTTCCGTTTCACGCTATTCAAGATAGAGTAATGTCGTTTGAAGAAGCATAGATTCGTGTCCGAAACGCGGGGATCGGTAATAACATTGCGCGAACCGGTACACCGTTGAATGGGATTGAGAACTCGGTTTGTCGCTATTAGAATAAGAGTAACGCGTCTCTCAGACTAGAATTTCAATTGTCAAGGTGTTCGCTATCGTTTCTATACGAAAGAAACAGGGATCAAGGAGACAAACATTTATCTCGATGGTAATAATCGTGCACGAGCCGATAGATCGTTTAACGAGTATCGATGTCTACTAAGATCCCAGCATCGCATCTATCCAACGATAATTAATTTTTATAATTTCTCTGGATGAATTTGGCACGTGTTGTCACTTAATCGCGACGACTGTCCGAATAAAACGCGATTTTACAGAAATTCGCGGAATCGGTTACGTGCAATTGCGAGCGTGTTAATATTCAAGTAAGAGGCGAGGAGAACAAGGGCGCCTAGCTCTGGTACCGGTGAAAGTTTTCCACCGAATTGCTATGTCGTCTGGTTACTATTCCAAGGTTCCTGACCTAGGCACGACCCAACCTCGCGGTCAATTAGACGAGATCGGTACGTCCTCGACGCTCGTGCACAAGTGGGAAGAAATCAGGAATTCAGCGCGTCGCGAGAGTCACGTTATAGAAGAAGATATCCATGACTTTATTTTTTCTCTACCACGATCGAGGATTAGTTACGAAATTGTTTGGAAACCACGGTTGCGTTGATTCGTTGCGTAAGTGGTTATTGATTTTGGTTTTCGGGTCGGCGTTGGGCGGGAAGAATTTTAATGGACGACTTAAATATCGTGTTACTCCGGAATAGAAATTGCAAAATGACATTAACGGATTGGGTTCAAGAACTCGCGCAACTCGGGTAACGATTAGGAAGTGTAGTCGAGGATCGTTTTGCTCGTCTAGCAGAAGCTTGTCCTATCTCGCGAGGTTCCTGGACACCAATGACAGTCATTGGTCCATTGTCCGCGTTGGTCAAAGCTCCTACGTGTTCACTCGTAACACGCACGACCGTTCGAAACTAGTCGATAGACTGGCCTCCTTTTACGGCGACGAAAGACTGCCGTTCGTTTCCTTGTAAGCCTGACACGAAGGATCGGATCGAACCGGTATGCGTGTGTGTAACAGCCTCGAAAATGCATCCTCTTAGACTAGTCTGATCTCAACCCTCCACTCTTCGCCCGATAACGAAACGCAATAACGATCTCCCGAGAAACCTATGTGGACCCAGGCGAACGATTGAAGGGACGTAGAACAAAAGCAGAGACATCGGCGAACATGGCAGGAAATTGCGAGGAACAGGCTCGCCTCGATCGAAACCGCTCGCTAAAGAAACATTTCAGCCGCTTTACAGGCCAGCTACCCGTCGACCACGAATACGAATCTACTACTAGCGCGCAGGAGAGGAGAGAAAAGAATCGGTTGGTCGTCGAAACGGCGTGAGAACCGTGACCGAAAGAAAGCAAAAGAATGAATAAATAGACAGGCGTACACCCGAGGAGCGGATCAGTAAACGAAAGTTCTCGTCTCTGTTCTCGTTTAGCAAGCGGCCGACGGGGCGGCAAGAGCGGCGGGCACGGTGTACCGCGTGGTGGCAGGTACGCAGAGCCTAGGGCTCGGCTTAAGCGCCTCTCGGGACTTGGGCCCGGTTCCCCAAGGTGCCGCCCCTGCTGCCGCTCCAGCTGGTTCCTCGACCACGGCGGGATCCTCGACCAGCGCACCGGCCGCGTCAGGAGCCGGCAACCTACCACCGGTACGCCAATCCTTCCGAGCAGAGCCGAACGGACACTGCCAACTGCACTCTCTCTCTCTCTCTCTCTCTCTCTCTATCTCTCTCTTTCTCTGCCTGTCTCACTCACTCTCTCTCTCTTTCTGTCTGTCTCTGAGTCTACTACTACTGTTTCTCTTTTACTCTTTGTGTCTCACACTCACTTGTCCACTCGGTGAACGGATACCACAGGTTTCTTAATGACAATTTTCAGTGGTTTCGCTGAATGTTGGCCTGTTGGAACCTGGTCGGCTTTCTGTTTGCTCTCGCTTCCACTCACTGTCTGTTTCTCTTTGCCGATGGCGCTTCGTGGATGGCGCTTTCCCTTCAGTCACGCGTTAATTCTTTGGGGTTTCGGGATCTTTGTGGTCACGCACTCTTTCGGGCGAGTATTCCTTTCGAGGGTATGGTCCCTGCCGATCACGACGCGGTACGTACCACGGCTACCGTGTGACCAGTTCCAGCTCGGAATGACACGCGTTTAAAGTAACAGCGATGACTCGCTCGACTCGTCGAATGTTTGTCAACCCTCTCGAAAGAAGTACTTTGCTCGTCTGCGAGCAGCCAGCCGCGTGTTTAACAGTACAGTCCTCTGTACACCGACATAACGCACCCAACTGTGTTTGATCTGCATGCCATACTCCTCGCACGTGACTAATCGCACGTTGCTCGTCCCACGTGTTCCACGTTTGTTCTTCGTCTTCCGTTTACTTAACTACTCGGACCTAGCTCGTCTGGTCTCTCTGTCCTCTCTTCTCTCTTCGTAGCTTGTCTTCTCCGAGCCTCTTCTTCTTCGCCGATCCTCCCCGCCTCGATCGTGCCAGGATCGCGCCAGGATCTTCGTTTTGTCAACAACGATGATCAGCCACGAGGATAATTGCAGGAGCCTGGCGTGCTATCCTTGCGACGATCGGCGGTTTCTCATGGTTTTAGATGTAATGCATCATCGTTGTCACTAACCAACCCCTACTTCAATTCATCCTGTGTCCACGTTTCGAGCGACCGAAAGGTGACCGTCCGTATTCTTCGAAGCTAGTTGGAGATACGATAAATTTCACTAGTATAGCAGAAATTTGAGGTACGATACGGAAGACTATCTCACCTAGAGTCCCTCACCTTTCAGTCCCTCGTAGCAGGCCATCTAACACTTACCATCGACACATCTTCCCATTAACAGCATCGTCGTCGTTCATCGAACCTTCCCTCTGATTCGGGACAAGTATCGAGTGGCCCTGTGAATACCTCGTTCTGTCATCTTCCAAACACCCTCTTCTATCCAATCGTTCCACCCGGCCAACGGTCCCGACGCGACACCGACAACCAGCGACTAAAGACTTTCGGCGAAGCAACTGGCTGATGGACATCCCGACCCGGAATCTCAGGGCAGCCATTGATCGATTGCCGATTCTCTCGTTGTTGTGATCTCGTACTCGTCCATTGCACATTATACCGTATATCGTTAGCGACGTAGCTGTAGCTCGTTCGTTGCTGCTGGAACGCACCGAGAGCAGCGAGCCGCCAGACGAGTCCGCTTCGCGTCGTCTAGGAGTCTAGGATCCTCCCTCGGATCCTCTTGATTCGACGAAGACGTAATTTGACGAAGACGTAAGACGAGGACGAGGATCCTCGCGCGGCTGAGTCGTCTGGCCTCGTATACACGAATTCTTCTAGTAGTGAATTGATAGCACGGTGCGTGACGTACGATTCCTCGAGGACCAGGCTGGAGAGTGAGTATAGGATCGAGCGTGCGTCATGCTGCCTGTAATTATCACTGTAATGTTATTGTCTCTTTGGGTCCTGGTGAATATGTTTCTAGTTTTGATGCACCTGTAGGTTGTCCATACAGCGACAGTGTCTGCACACGTAGCGAAGCAACGATGTTATCATTTGAGTAGACATAGCAGGCATTCTGAGCACCCTGTATGGACACCCTATAAAGTTACCCGAAACAATGTCACGAGCCGAAGGAGCGCACGTAAGGATCGTAGCAGCAAGATCGATGGATCGTAGCCGCAAGTAGGATTCAGGATGTAAAAGCACCGTAGTGTCGGGAGCGCTGAAGCTGGACGTGGAGCTGCTACACACTGCAACTATCTCATTAGAAAACAAAAAAAAATATGACAGCGATTCACGCGATGATCGATGACAATGAACGATCTACGCAATTCGTCTATCATTCACCTTCTCTCGTGCTCTCCCCGAGAAAGATCTCCGTCTCGACGAGAGTTTCACTAACGTTTGTCTCGACTATTTGCAGCTGGTGGCTGGTAGCGGAAGCCATGGAAACTCCTCCGGTCACGTGGCTGGAAAAGTCGATGAAACTCAAGAGACGATTCCCGGACCAGTGACTAGGCTCTTCGTCATAGCGAACAAGGGAATTTCGAATCTCATACAGGACCTCATTCTTGTGAGTACACTTCTTTGTTAGAAGAAAGACATAAGCTATAAAGACAAAGTGACAGTTCATAGGTCGATGGAAACGGGAAATTCGTAATTAAAATTCGAATAAATCGCGTTTCGCGGGTATTTCATAGCGCCATGTTAGCACACGAAGGTCTCCGACCGTACCGCAATACCTAATTAACGTTACGACACGAAAACAGAGTGACTAGGAACGAAAGCACAAAAGAGGTGAATAACGACTCTTGAAAAGACGCGAGGTTTAAAGATGGCGTAGTCTACGATACAAACGAGCCGGCATGTTAGAGTAATTCAATTTGCAAATCGGCACTACGTCTCCTTGCACAACGATCGTAAAGGAACGTTTCACAAAGACAGTTTCTCCGCGAAGAAACGGGCGGCATGAATGAAAACCGAGCGTTGCGATCGCGTTGCGGTAACCACCGATCATACTTCGCGATTAGAAATCGATTATGCTTAACGAAGCAGGGAAGAGACGAGGCGAAATGCATTTAAAACGGGGCTGACCGAAACGCGGTTACGACACGTTCGACGAAGCCAATGCATGTGACTTTCCTTGAAATTTTCCGGTTAACCAGCGTGACGGGTCGATCGAAATCGGTATCAACCTGTTGCAAATTATTCGCAGTCCTGTTTTTTTTTTACTACCGACTTAAACTCTGCCTCGCAGAGCGGCGCTCTTTACGCGTAGTATTACATAACCGATTAGTTCGTGAAGGGAAATTGCGATATCGTCATCGAGATCGGTCTGCTCGCTAGCGATTTGTTGATATTAACTCTTTCTCTCGTTCGGATAAATATAACGCGTCGAGTTAATGCGGTTTATCGGCGGTCGGGATCGTAATTATAGCAAGGCTACTGGATCGATGCAGAAAGACCGATCGATTCACGATTATTATCCACGCTCCACACAGTCCGAAGTCGAGCGCGGAACAGGTTGAGCCACGTGGCAAGATCGGTGCACGGCGATGAAAATATCGCGACGGCGTGGTTACAAAGTACCAATTAAACAATTTGCTCGCTCTGATCTAACGTTCAATGACTTCTGCGTTAACCGATCGCGATGGAAATATCCGCGCGATAGATTACGCGGTTTCAAAGGCCGATTCGAATCGGGCAACGTTGCCGTAAGAATCTCGAACGATCGTGGAAGAGATTGGAATTTTGCAATTTCACGGGAGAACCGCAAGAGAAATTGCGAATTCGTCGTGGTCCCATTCTCCGTGTGAAGATTTTGCCGAAAGTCGCGCGAGCGTGACGCGTTGTCGTTCCAGATATAAAACCGGCCGATTACGTAAGCATCCCCGTCAGGATCGATGGAAAGCAAAAATGTAAGCGACTTTCTCTATGAAATAGCTCGTCCATTTGCCGGCTGACTTATGCAAGCAGCTGCTACGTGGCTCCTGGCACGCGATACTGCCAGGGGCACGGTTATCCAGCTCCTGCGATCGCCATCTTTTCTGATCCTTCGGCCTACCAACGACCTTCCGATCGCGGGATCCATTCACTGACGCTTCGACTTTGGTAGAAAATCGCGATCGTGACGGTAGTAGCGACAATGCGGTTCTAAAGTACCCTGTGTTACGTTCCCTTTAATATGGTCCCAAAATTGGTATCGAGGTCGCGATCTTAATTATAATTGAATAATTATTAATTAAATTAATCCTCTCCGAACGAGATTGTCATCGCGTGAAAATACAACAACGTGTTATTCGAAGAAAATTGAAATCCGAGTTCGGAATCAACGATCTGTAGATACACAATGGGAATTGTCATGAGCGGCTGGTAAACACGCGTTCGCGGAAAGTTAACAAGGAGAATACTCGTATTTAAGTAATACCGCATCATTTCGTGACAACAGTCTAGCCTAAATAGGTCGATAATCGCGGTCGTTAGTCAAGATTCAAGCGTTCCGCTTGCGACTCACGCTTCGCTCTCGCGCGCGATGCACTCTCGAACGAAAGCGAAACCGATCGACGAGAGAACACCGGAAAACCTGCTGGCTAGAGGCCATTGATCGCGCTTCGAAACCTTCGCAACTCGCCTATCACTGCTACATCTCTCGCGATGAAGTTCAATTCTCTCGCAAGAAATGGTCCATGTTAGAAGGAACGTCGTCCCCCCGTCTAAGAATCGCGAAATTTTGTCTAATTAATCGCTCCTTGATACCTCGAAGCGTGAAGAGGAAACGCAGCCGAGCGTGGCGAGATGTTTGCGCGAATTGCAGACTCGAGCGGGAAGAAAATGGTGGAAAAAGAAGGCGCAAAGAATTCGCGTGAAAACGAATCCGCCGGCGTTCCGTTCCGCGTTTTTCTCGGCGGGCCCCGCGCGGAATTGAGGAACCATGTCTTTATTATGGCGTACAGAGGCGACAGAACGTTAGCCAGGCGAGAAACCAGAGAAAGCAACGGCGCGAACGGAAAAACATGGATCGGGTATCGCGGCGGCGGGTGTTATTAAACTTAATCGCGCTTATTATGCGCAACCTTCGTGGAGCGTGTTAGCCGGCAAGAAGCGGGCATCGGCTCGAAAGCGTTCACGCTTCGTACATCGCGCGGAATTCGTCCGCTTCTCCCGGAGCCGGGAAATCGGAAACTCCGTTAGAGACTGCGGAGATCGCGCCGGAGGATCGAGGGGGCGAACGTGCAATGGTCCCCGCGAACGATCTTGAACCGATCGATGACCGTTTCTTTGGTTCGTCACGGTGAAACCGTGGTCGCTAGAATAAGAAGTGTCGAAAGCGGAGCTGAATCGTGTCTCCTCGAAAGCGTTGCGAACGTTGTCTTTCTGGCCGAACAATCGAGGGGTTACGCCGGGGAAAAAGAATCGGGATAATTGAAATGGAGATTTGTATCGTTTGCAGTAATCGGGCGTTGATTTCTTTGCCCAAAATCTAACTTTCCGGTCGGCTGCTCGGGGAATGTCTACGAACTGTTGCGAGATCGAAAAGTCGGTCGAGATTCGAAAGAAATTTCTTTTTTCCTGTTTATGCATCGACACTTCCGCTTAATTCTAACCTAGATTATTTTATAATTAAAGTCAAAACGCTTGGCGAATCGAATGAAACCGTAACACGTTCTTGCTCCGAGACCTAATAGGTTATGTTCCATGTTGCAGCGCCTGGCAGCGACGAGCGAACGCATCGTCAACTTCAAGGCAAGACTGATCACTTCCATTATCTAGAGGAGGATAATGCACGATAGCGATGGGGTGTGGAAGTATAAGAAAGAATCCGATGGTCCTGAAACGCTCGGGAGCCACGTGAGAGCCATTGCTGAGCCGTGATTGTCGAACAGGAACACGGGTACGACGTTGGCAACGTGACCAGCGTTGCCCCCTTGTCCCCGAGGTCCGAAGCGTCACGTCGATGCTACCGAATTGTCCTCGTTAAACTAAATAGACCAACCTCGCGTCTTCGAGTTCGTACTTCGCGTCATACCCACGCCGCGATATCTGCCTTCGCACTCTGTCATGCTTCGCTCTTCTCGTTCCTCTCTTCGTTTCCTGCCTCACATTCTCCAATGTCTATTTCTCTATATTTTGTACGTAGTATATTCTTCTTGTTAGTTTACGGTTACTTGCGTAGCGACGAGGAAGTTCGCATTATCGAGACTCATTTCGGTTTTGAACTTTCCTCGAAAATTGTATATCTTATACGGGTAGAATTCATCATTTTTGTCAGTTGGTAACCCCTCCATGTAACTCTTAACGATACCTTTCAATTTAGCCTTGCAAAATATGGCGTGACGCCGAGTAGAATCTCGCATGAACTAATGTATATAGATGTTTCCGGAATGCAACGGTGCCAAGCATTGATTGTTTTGTTTTTCTTCCTTCCCGATCGATTTACACGTAAATAGGTTTTCCTATTCGTTCAGCGGCCCGCGTTTCCTTGTCCGTCGCTTCTCCAAGGGCTGCCATCCCACTGCGGCGATTACTGTGACCATCTGGTAAACTGAAAGAATCCCATGACCCTTGTATAAAACAGAGCATACATTGATATTATTTTAATTGGTACTCGACACTATTTATTCGACCATTTGTACGCCGCATACGAGATAAAACGTTATCATTCTCTTTTCTAATTGCCCCAGAAGAGGCTGGATAAGGGAATGGTCATCGTTGAGTAATACCCATAAAAGTGTGTCGATCTTCGAATTGGACGTAATATCTCTTTTATTGTAAATCGTCCCTGTTGTTTTGGTAGTGTAAATAAATAAATATTATTGTCGTAAAAACTAGATCATTCTTGCCACTCTTTCCTCCCCCGTGAATTTCAAAACAAATTTCCCTACTACTCGTTTATTCCTTACGATTATATACTCGATACAAGTATGATCGAACAGCAAATGCGTTTTATATGTATAACAGTCTTTTAGGACCTGTACAACCATCTACACGCGATTTTAAGCTCAAGGCTACGAATCCTCACTGCTTGTCAAATCCGTTGACAAAGTGTCCCGCTTCAATGATCACTTGATTAATTCGTAGTTCAACATATGGTCATCCAACTGAGTAAACCACCGTCGCGAGGCATGCGAGAATGACTGATCATCGGATACACCAACGTAAACCGGATCCCCTAATCGCACGCTGCCGTTAGGACTTCTCAATCCTAGATGAATCCCCATTACTGGACTCTCACCGACCAATGGACGAATAACTGGATCCGTTATTTGTCTGTAACTGTAATAAAAAATTCTATACCGTGATTTTCGTCCCGAGATGGAACAGCATGGCCGATAAAGTATTATTTATCACGATGCTGACTGTAAATTTTAATTGAACCAATTTTTAAGGCCAAACCTTTTTAGAGTCTTCAAAGGCTCCGTTTTCGGATTCTTCGTTCCAGTCTCCGGATCTATGGTAGTAAAGATACATCTGGTACACGGCATGACATTTTTGAAGATCACGTCTCCGATCTTCACCCACTCCCAGGTATCCTCTTCGTACGGGGCGGCGACTTTAATGACAAAGTTCCCTCGAAAATAATCCGGAGTGATCGTGTCGCCTACTCGAGAGGCTAGATCAGCTACTGAACCTTCGTTTATCAAAGAGTAGCTGGTGGCGTCTGGATAAGCACCCTGTTGGACAAACAAATCATTGGGTAATGTACGGATATGACCAATTCTTCAGAGATATACACTCTGCGTGACTGAATCGTAAAACTTACGGTATCTTCAGATGTCAAGAAGAATTTCTTGTTCTTCTCTCTGACCTTCCTCGAGGGATAATCCAAAGGATAATAGACCAGTCTGAATCCAGTGTCCTCCTGAAGAATAAACCGGGACAGCCACTTGGCAGCTTCCTCGCCGCAATCGCAGCCAGCTACGGATTGTCCCCAAACTGCCACGCGAAATCCTTTACTTTGGAATCGCGACAAGTCAACCGACACGGACATCATCCCCGGAGCAGACAAGGTGAGGATCGATCCGGAAATGCTGGGCATCACCTTCAAGATCACAATCACTGTTTCATTAACGATTCAAGAGGATTCGAAACGAAGAACGTTTCCATCCAATTGAAAGTACGAAAACCTGTTCAATCAGAGCGGAAACAGCTCGCTAAACGGAGACTACACAGAATAGGAAAATGCACGGTGGGGCGAAATAATTACTCGCATCCGATTCTAACAGTTAATTCCGGGAGTTTTCGCGTCGATAAAACGGCTCGTTAATCCCGATTATAAAAGTTTCGCGTTTCCTCAGTCATATGGAAGAAATGGCGGCTCGGTTCTTCGAGCTCGAGGAGGAAACTTAGGCAGATCGTGTTCGACAGCTGCCAGGATAGCGTAAATGAGGAAACTTAACGATTCGTGAAGAGTACAAGAGGGAATAGAAAAAGGTGATCGTGATTATCGCTCATCGATTCGTTTCTAATCCATTCGCTAGCTTTCACGGTGATTCCTCCTCGAGATTCCTTCTCCTTCGTGATTCCATGCGAGCCAAACGTGTGTTTCCTTGGAAAAATCAAGAATTTCTCCCCTCGTGAGAGATTCGCTAACCAGATTAGGTAATTTACCAACTGCCTGATCGTAAGCTTATCTAATATCATCTGTTAGCATGTCGAGGTGCCTGGAAGAGGTAATTGTGCTTCGCATTATCGTCACTATCGCGTGCAGCGCAAATAAAAGTGGTATTTTTAGAGGCTCTCTAATTTCCATCCGCTTTACCTCTCGAGGTATCGAGTATACCGTTCAGAAGAGCCGCTAAAGCAGATAGCATTGAAGATAGCATCGATTAGCTTCGAATCTCTTACCTGGACCATTTTTGGCCACTGCCTGGCAGTAACGAAGTGTCCATTCAGGTCGATGACCATAAGAGTTCGGTCCCGCAGCCAGCCAGACTTCAGACCCAGCTTCGTGCACTCCATCTTGTTCATCCGAACAGGTCCAAGCGATTTAACCGGATAGGTGACCAAGTCGCTCAACTCGCCGACCTTTCTCCATTGAGTTGGCAGTCGGTCCTTCTGCCTCTTGGTCCACCACCACCAGACGAAGACGACCACGGTACCGGCGCCAACAACAGCCGCAGACACGTACGTCAGCCGTGTTCTATCTGCTCGTGAAACGTCCAGAGATTAATTCTCAACGGTTAAGTGGCCATGCAAAACGTTCCGTTGTAAAATCGTCGACTCGCAGCAACGATCTAACGTGCAGATAAGCCGTTGATAGAGCTCGAACAGTGGTTGAATTTGAATTAACTACACCCGGTATTCATTGTCTGCGCTATTTATACGAAGATCATCTGAATCTGAAGCTGCTTAAATACCAAATTAGCCAGAGCTGTGAAAGGAGCCTGGATTCCTCTTTTTTTTTAGACTTTTACGATACCTTGGTCCGTGTATACGTTACAGTGAGGACATCGAGGGAATATCCGCGCGAACGAGAAGCCTTTGCATTTGCAATGCAAAACGCCAGCGAAGCGGATGGTTTCGGGGCGAAACAAAGACAAAAGGAGACTCCCGGGGAGATTCACGTCGCCGAATGGTGTGCGTGAGCCTTTCGTCACTACCTAAACCTGCGTCAAACAGAGCACGAAATTTTTTGCGTCTACGTTCCTCGAAACTATCGCCAGTAAACAAGAGTAAACAAGATCATCGGTGTGACTACTACGAAGTGCATTCGAACGATGTGGAATCACCCGTGTGGTCGGAAGATCTTTCTGCATGGAAATCCTCAAGGCGTGTACCGTGTCTTTCTCTTATTTGCATTCCAAAGAAATTTATAACAGGCAGCCTCGAACGATGCAAATTGAACGTTAATGTACATGGTACGATTAACGGTACTCGTAAGAACAGAAACCAGCGTTCTCCTCAGCCAACCGGAAACAGATGAAATAACGTTGCAGTATAGATAGTTGAAATTCGAAATGACATCCTTTCGATCGCGAGAAATCGGAACGGATCTAACGGAATATATCGCATCATCATGCGCTGAACGATTTGCACAATTTGTTCGCGGCTAAAATGTCCCGTGTCGCTGATAGCGCCGCGGGAAAGTAGGCTGCAGAGACCTCTACACGCTTTCGAAAATATACATCGAACGTCGCGAATTACGTTTCCGCCTTTCATCGTTCTTACAACTGCCCTGTATATCGTTTTATACACCTTTGCAGCCGGTTATCGATAATTCCTCATCTTTGTTTGCTTAATGATAGGAATAGATTCCTTATCCTAACCTCGTCTAGTGTTGATGCTGCGTAGTAATCAAAACAGTGTGTTATATAAGTGTCACGTGATAAATTGATGAAAGGAATGTACGTATACTCACTCAGTTCACTGTGACGGACGTGAAACATCAATTTTTCAATTTCATCCGCCATTTTTGTATTCGGTGCAACGTATTTACTCGTTATATCTAATCGTACACATAACGTGTCGCATTTTATTCGACAGTATCGATTTGCCTTTTATCGTAGAGTCACGCAAAGAAGGGAAATCACACGAGCCCTTTGCCGAAATCAATACCAAGGGCGTTGCTCGCCGGCACATGGTTCACTGTACAAATAACACTAACGACAATTCTAAATAACGAATCTGGAATGTCGATGATTTCGTTTAAAAGAGTTGCATAACAGGCTATGTAAAGACGAAAGACAAGTCTAGAAAACAATTTTTGTTTTACAACCTTATCTGCAGTAAACAATTTCGAAGGATCATTGAGATAACCCGGACTAAATATACACAAGTGTAAAGACGAAAGACAAGTCTAGAAAACAATTTTTGTTTTACGACAACCTTATCTGCAGTAAACAATTTCGAAGGATCATTGAGATAACCCGGACTAAATATACACATCAAAAACTGAACAATGGAACTGCATGGAAAAATCACAACGAAACGCATCGTAAGAAATATTTTCTTCCATTTACTCGCGTCTTCTCGCACCAATCACGATTCCATCTCTCTATCCTTATTATTAGTACCCAATCGAGATCGAAGAAAAGCAAACACAGTAGACCGGTTTCATCGAAGGTCATAAATCTCTGTCAACCGAAATTTAATGAATTTAAAACGAAATATCATTTTTCGCAGTCAACAATATATTTCTACGACGAAATCAATAACCGACACAAGACTGAAATCCACGCGGGACATGGATACCCGTGCAGGTTAAAGTATAATGTAATACCACAAGGTAATAGTACGATTTATTTACCCAATATCATTGCCAATGTCACAGGAATCCCACAACGAATGACGACTGACGAAACGGCAACAATCGTGGATAATGGGTCACAAGAGGATCGAAACTAGTCTTATGTCTGCCGGTCGACAACGAACTGAACTGATGTAGGTCCCGCGTGCTCGCGTCGCGTCTCTTCTACCCGACGAAGACACCGTTATTTATCCACGCTTACATTCTGCTATCTTCTTTCCCCATTATAGTAAACAGCATCGATGCACGGGGCATACGCGACTGAGAAACTCGGAGAAACTGGCACGCCACGGTTTCTCAACGTTGCTGACATGCGCCTCTGGAACCAACCACGTGCCTGTTCCGAACATTTGAAACTGAACACGAGCTTCTCACGCTTGTATCATTTTCTGGAGCAAAATTCGACTAAGAAATAAATGAATAGAAGTTCTCTATATGTAGGTTCTCAAGTAATTTTCTTTTGTAACTTTTTATTGGTTTAAATTGTTAATAACGATAAACCTAACGATAAGTTATGTAGAATGTGTCAGTACAGAATCATGAATAAGGGAAGACTTTAATTTTCAACAGTATTTGAATGAGTTTTATTCCTCTTATTGATCTTTTCCGTGTCGAGGATAAAATCATCTTCAAAAATAAAAGCTTGATATTTCTTTGCAAGAAAAATCGAGCGAAGAAAAATAAGTTCTTTCAAAATTCGCGCCACAAGTAATACGCATGACTGTACACCAGTGGATGACAACGCTGGTAGTAATCAACTGTCATGTGTTATAGATAGTCTTGGACGTTGTCGATGGATCAAAGGACAATTGTGTTTTCATTTCTGTGGATTGTTTCTTATGAAATGACAGATCATTGATATATCGTATTACTCATAAATGCAAGTATAATAAAAAAAGTAGTAATCATCTGGCAGTTAACGTCGAAAAAAGTGTATAATCATTTTCTCTATTTGCGTCACCTCAGTAATTCAGGTAGGTGAAAAAAATAGCTGATTGTTAATTTTGTTGAATTCGAATATTGTCATTAGATAAATTCATTTCACTTTTTGTTCGCTTTGGTCGTGTTCTCCAGACAGCAACGCGAAATTATTCGTGAATGCGTTACAGCTTATAGGTTAGAAATTATGACGTTTTACTTTCTGATCTATATGAGTAATTCCTTTTCCTTATTGTTTCTTTTATTATGCTTGTTTCATTTTTCCAATAATTTTAACAATTTATCCCTATATCGTTTATGTGTCGATATGTTACTATCGTTTGTAATCTTTTTTGTTTTTAGTATTACTCAGCATGATAACAGATAAGAAAAGTCAATTCCCAACAAAATTTTATCATTTATTGACTAGATTTCTATGAATTAACGACATTATATTTATTAACTTGTCAAGCAAAGAAACTATAATTTAACGTAATATTTGTATGTTATTTCAGGATCCATCATGCCATTCTTATATAGCGCAGTGTCTCGTGGAACAATCGTGTTAGCAAAATATGCTACTTGTGTTGGAAATTTTGACGAAGTAACAGAGAATCTCCTAGCAAAAGTGAAACCTGAAGATCACAAGTTTACATATTCACAAGGACAATATCTTTTTCACTATATATGTGAAAACAACATTATTTATATGTGTATCACAGACAATGTAAATAATCAGAAAAATCCAGTAATGTTTGCGGCGCATCATCGTATAATTCATCAGTAGCTAATATTTTTATATTACAGGATTTCCAAAAGTCTAAAGCATTTTTGTATTTAGTAGAAATTCAAAGAAGATTTTTGGCTGTTTATGGCGAAGATGCTCAAACCGCAGTACCGTATGCAATGAATACAGATTTTGCTAGAACCTTAGCTAGTGCAATGGTAAAAAGCATAAATTTATTTCACTTTATTCTTTGATGTTTTTACATATATGTTTTGTTTAGAAACATTACAGCGAATCCAATAAAGAAATTGATACGTTAGTTAACGTTCTTGATGACCTCGACGAATTAAAAGATATAATGAGCAAAAATGTGGATAATGTGGCAAAGCGTGGAGAACGGTTAGAATTGCTTGTAAACAAGACTGAAAATTTAACTGCCAATGTAAGTAAAATTACAATTGGTATGAATGGTGGGGAATTCAGAAGTAATTGTTTTGCATATTTTTAGTCGGTTACGTTTAGGAAAACTAGCAGAAATTTGGCACGCTCATTGTTTTGGAAAAACGTAAAAATTTACGTCATTGTCGGTGTCGTCCTAATTGTAAGTAATCGATACTTAGTACGATATTCGATCGATAAAATAATATATATTAATATATCCATCGAGTGCAAACAATTTTATAAATCTCGTAGGTTCTCGTATATGTTATTGTATCTATATCTTGCGGAGGCTTGGCTTGGCAAAAATGCGTTGGAAATTAATTCACCTTTGTAACATTCAGACCAATACGTTGTGTCTCTAAAATGTGATCTAAAAGATACTTTGAACAAACGAAAAAACATTCACGGTGCGTATTTTATTTCTTGGTTTCTGTTAAGCGTGAATAACTGAGGAATACAATTCGTTTCTACGGCTTTAACGAAGCAAAAATAATGTAGGATTAAAGAAGATACTTTTAGGAAATGTATAGATATAATTGTGTATAATGATTATATTATTTTTATTACCTTACCAAAAATAATATACACGTCGTTGATTTCCCAAGCAACGTCACTTCAATATTCTGTACGATATCTTCACGTTCTGTTAACAAAAAAAAAAAGGAAAAAAAAAAGAAAACGAAAACTAATAAACAAATAAAATGATTCCAATATATAAATTAATGACTCATTTATGCGTTTCCGAGACCATACTCTTGCGTGCAACAAGTGAAGGTCACGCGCATTACGCGTATTTCTTCATTTTCAAGAGTGATTCCATTGGACTTGTGCCATCTGATCGAGACATTTTACTTTCACCCTGGTCAAACCTACGACAAAATTCACCACCTACACAATCTCTTCCGGACCATTGAACGCGGGACATTTTTTTCACGCGGAAGTCTCCAAACGACGTACTATAGTTTTTCTACGATCCCAGCGCATGCTCCGATACACATTCGTTCCTCCAATAGCCTGTGTCTACAACGAAGGACACCCTGCGCAAATCCGATTCGAATAATTACACTTAATCGAAAGCACATTTCAATATCGAAAGTTGTCAATCTGGATCGTCGTAATGAGAAATTAACGGACAAAAGCACCCTTACAGCTTCATAAAACGTATTCCACAGAAACGTTATCCGTCCAAATAAAAACAATCTCACGGTCCTCCAAAATCGTTCATCAGCTATGACAAGCGGAAGAAACGAATGAGCGAAATCCGGAAGTGGAAAAAAATCGCGACGAAACAGGATCCCTGCCTGATCGATTGGAAAGAAATTGCTCGGGATAGATACGGTCCTGGAGTAGCTGCAACGACGTCGCCAGCGTGGGACGGGTGGCGGCGTCGCAGGCGCTGTGATCGCGACGCCCGGGCCATCGCAGCAGCCCGGCAGCTCTGGCAGCAGGATGTCGATGGCTCGCGTGGCGCGCCCTTCGGGGGGTGCCAAAGAGTGTCGTCTCGGTGGCTGGTCTCGACGCCACGATTGATCGTACGTCGTCCCTGAACCCGCGTTTCGAAAACACTTTCGATTACGGGCGCAAGGTCGTATCAACAAGTTCCGGCCGTGTTTGCGGCCGCGGCGGGGCCGGTCGGGCCGCTTGCAAATTAATACCAAAGGGAAAACAAACCTCGCGCGTGCGGCACGCGCGACTACGTTGAAAAATAGACGCGTGGTGAATCGCGCGTGTAGCGATCGGTCTGGGTCACGGTGCGTGGCCGGTCCGCGCTCCGGCAATCGGCCGCGTCAGTCCTCTTCCCGCGATTGTCGACCAATCGGTTCGGTGTTCCGTTGCGTGTGTCAGTGGTGTGGGTGGTTTCGTGTGGTTGGACACCGTTTCGCGGCCGGCCATGGAACCGCGGAGGTTCCGGATACCGGAGGCTAGCTGACAGGTTCGTGGCGCGATCGGATGTCCGCGTGGGAGGGTAGGAGGTACTACGAGCCGCTGGATGAAAGTGAAAACGAATCGGACCGCGACACGGGGGGATGAACGAATGAGGATACGCTGCGTGGAGAACGTCCGATCGTGTGAGATACAAACCCCGTAAGTGGATTTCCTGTATATCTCTTCTATCTCTCTTCCTCTTTTCATTTATACGTATATACATAAGGAGCCTTCTTTGTCTCTTTTCCTTTCTTCTTTGACAGAGAATATTCGCTTTTTGGGGGTTAACAAGGAGGGTAGATATGTAAAATTATTAGACTTTGTTAGATATCGTAGATTTATTAGACATCGTAACATATCTACCAAAGGGAAGGTTTACTTCCGCGTTCATGCGTAATTGCGTGGACAGATTCGATCGTATCTCGACCTAATTAAGTTTGTTTCCCGTGGATATCGGCCGGTGGCAAGAACGTTTGCCGATAGCGAATAAAGGTCGCCGGAAAGTGGCAAATCGGTTGCGTGCACGTCCCGCAGGCCTGTTTTCGCGGCACGCGTTAGATAAAGCAACGAAACGAGCTATCGACGCAAAAAGCCAATGAACTGCCGGCGAGCATGAACGCGGATGGAAATACCTGCCTTTCCCGGCACGCGATACAAGTGACGGAAAATCGTTGCTGCGGATCGCTGGGAAACGTACGCTCGAACAATTGCACCACAGCCTATGGAATCTCCCTATCGATTCTCGGACTCGTACCTTTCTTGAAATCGCTTCGCCTAACGCCACGCTGTGTCCCTATTCACCGCCGATAAAATTCCCTCTAGCCTCCTAGACAATTTCATTTTCCCTGCTTCTCTAGCCTCCGCGATTCCCGCGCGATTTACCGACGCACTTTTCCCCCGTCCAAGACTCGGTTCGTAGAGGAAATCGTGAAAAACGGTGCAACAGTGGCGCAAACTCGCAGCAGATCCGCGCGACGATCCTCCTAGCCCCCGACGGACCTTCCCCGTCGGGACGACACGACACAGCCAGCATCTTACCCCAAGTTATTTCTCCCATGGCCCGTAGTAATGCCGTGACGTGTACGGGGAGCCATTTGATGGAGAAATATTCCACGCCACGCACCCTGGCCATAAAACCTACGCGGAACGAGAGGGTCCTACGCTGCATGGCGTTCACAGGCTGATCCCGAACAGGAAGAATGCTCATTGACGCTCAGGCTTACGAGATCCTGGCGAAGTGGCGTCTCACAGGCCCGCGACTAGATCGCGCACGGAAAGACAAATGTTCCCTGAAGGTACGACCCGCTTCACGTTTTCGATCCGCTATCCAGCAATTTTACTTGCAAAGCACTTCCCCTACGCAGCAGACGTCCGTTTCCGATGCTTCCACGGAGAAGGTTCGCGACCAAGGCCCCCCCCGGAATATTCGTAGCCGACGAAATTCGCCGTTTACCAACGTCGAGAATTCGAATAGTCGGGATAACCGCGTAATCGCAGCGAATACGATAGCGCGAGCTGACGGAAGTCCCCGGGGACTGGAGTTCGGTCGAAAGGGGAGTACGGTTTCGCGCACTTGCAAGGTGTATCGAGCACCGCGTTTCGCCAGGCTAGACGTGGGTCCAGGCTACCGTATACGGCGCAAGGAAGTTGCTCGAGGAATATCTTGTTACCCCGTCAGCTAGACGACGTCGCGCTAAGCCCTCGCCTAACATTTCGGAAGGAACGGGACTAAGCTGCCGAGCGGAGGAGTTTCGACCGGCAGCGGGTTTCACGATCGGGTCGATCAAGTCGAACTTAATTAACGGCGGCAGGGAAAGAAGCAGCTCGTTGGCGCGAATGAGATTTTTCCGAGCGTCCGTTCCCGTGGGGAGCCGCGAGACCGACATCTCGTAGTTTTAATTAAAGCGAGCCAGTGGATGTCGCGGCGCGGGGCAATTAAGTCGAAGACAAACGGGTGGCTCCATTGAATTTCCTAGCTTTCGTAATTAGTTTCGACGTAACCGAATCCAGTTACCAGCCGCCCGATAATCACGCCTATCCGCGACGCCTTCTCCGTCGAGACCTCGAAGGCCACCCTTCCGAGTCGTGGAGGATCAATCGGTGTAAAGACAGAGAGAGAGAGAGAGAGAGTGGCTGAGCGCGGAGCACGAGCGTTTACCCCTTTCGAGGTTGAAAAACTAACGGAACGACGAGTCCACATGGAAACACGCCTGACAACCCCTCTTGTTTTCAAGTACAACGGCAACTCCAAGTTTGTTTCCGTTCGCTCTCTCCGCGGAGCAGCGACGACCGGGCGAGTCCCTTTTCACTCGGGGGGATGGTTTCGCTGTCCCCGAATCGCGTGGCCGAGTCGTTTACAAGCGAAAGTAGCACGGCCGGAGGAGGGTTGAAATTTTAATTCGCGCGGACGTTTGATATTCAGAGATCCGGAATTCGGTATTCACGGTCTCACGTACGACCACTCGGCAGCCCTTCTTTCACCGGCTGCATTTTCCTTTCGCGCCAACGACCAACGAACTCTTGTTCTCCGGCGTGCTCGTTCCGCGAAACGAACGGCCGACAGAGAGGCACAGAGGCAGGGGATGGCGTCGGATAGGAGGAGAGGGTGGGGGCGGGAAAAAAGCGCGGGAAGGGCGGAAGATGATAGAACGAGACGACGATCTGTCATTCAAGGACGATTCTTTCAGGCTGCAAACTCGCTGGATTGTGTGTGCAGGGCCACCCTCTTTAGAATTCCCCGTCCGTGGAGCAAGAAGCTCGTAAAAGACAAAGGGGGTTGGTAGCGCAGGGGTGGAGAGAAGGCGCCGCGCAAGGGAGGCTCGCGGAGAGGAGACAGGAGTAGGAAGGAGGAGGAACGAGAAAGGAAATAAGAAAGATGGGAGAGAGCTCACCGGATCTCAGCCTCCGGCTCCGCCGGGGCAGCTCCGACTCCAGGGACTCCTTCTACATGGACTTTGCTCAGGTACCGATTCCACGATACATCGATAATCCTCGATAGATGGCCGCCTCAGCTTCTAGCGAAGGCGGAAAATTTCTATTAATAAGCGTTCGCTGTCTCTTTGTCGGTGAGGCCCTCTCCAACGAGCTCTTTTCGCCCGCTCGATCCGCGATGATCGACTGGTGCTCGGTAAGGAGCAGATGAGAGATAAGATAAACGAAAGCGGCGGGGGGAGATGAAATTTTAACGAGCTCGCTTTCTCATCGATACGGGGTGACTTTGAAAGGAAATCGCGCAGCGTATAGACCAACGTGCCTCCCCGAATGTATTATACCTCCTCTGGATACTTAACCTGGCTCTCGTGCACAGGCTTGCTGCCTCGCGAATCGAGTACCAAAGTTATCGGTAAATAATCGCTGGAGGAAGAGCATTCGTATGTACGTTGACAATTAATACGTACGAGCTAGTCGTTTGCCAAATCGATCAACTCCATTAAGCAGGAAGTATCGGCTTATTGCAGCCCTTCAAGGATATTATTTCCGATTCCCTGCTCGGTGTTTTGCATAGTATAATAGGTTTGCAAGAACGTAGCTTTCACGTATTTACATATTTCTCGAGTACGTCTAATTTGCAAA